TTTGACACATTTTTACTTCTTAAAAAAATCCCCAAAAAGTTAAAAATAATAAGTTCATGTGGTATGCAAATGATATCTATCTTTATTTTTTAGATTTTTAGCACGCTCTTTGAAATCACTTTATTAAAAAATATATATACGTATTAATTATATTCGCTCGCCTCATAATTTTGAAGCCCAAAATAAAAAATAATATTTATAAAAAAAATTTCGCTCGCTCGCCTCACTTTTTATTTTTGAAAATCCGAAGAACTATTTTACAAATTGGTGTGGCCTTATCATATAAAATCTAATTTAAACATAATGGAGTTTTTTTTAAATTACTTATACATGTAGTAATTGATATACTTAGCTTTAACTTTTTAATACCGGTATCTAATTATAATGCTTCGAATTAAATTACGACCTACCTTAACCAGGTCAGATAGAGGTGATTCTTTTTTACAAGATTTCACAAAGCACGCAACAGATCCATGTGTTCTTGTTGCCTGTCCAAAACACTCAGCACAAAGCGAATGATTGCAGTTCCCAAAAATTATCATGTAACCCTGAAATTTAGTGTAAAAACTTAAAAACTGACCATCTAATCTTTTCACCTTCATTTTTTTTTTTTTAGATAGATCATTCTAAATGGTAGTATCATTAAAATCGAGCATTTAATTCTAAATGACATTTTACCTTTTTTTATTTACAAGATTTATGTTAATTTTTTTTTTTTGTTTATTGATTTTACTGTTCTGACAGATCTATACCTTATCCTTGGCGTAGCTGAAATTCTCGCAACAACTGTCGCACTTCGTCTAAAATTAAATGGACACATATTTTAACTTAATTAGGAGAGAGAGAGGGGGGGGGGGAGAAGAGATATGGTTGAATGAAATAACACATGTATAATAATCTTATGTTTTAAATAGCGTATTCCGCATCGATCTCGACTTCATTAATTTACAATGCACTAGATAATTACCCGCGGGAAATTGAATTTATACATAGAACTTTACCATTTACAACAGAAAATTAAATATATTGTAGTTGGAAATTGTAGATTTTACTGACAGACTACAAACTTATAGAGGGAAGAAATACTTTGTTCAAAAGTCCGCATGAAAGAAATGTACGTCACCATTCCCACCCACTTTTTGTGAAAACTTGAAAAATAAAAAAATGCTTTAATTGACGTTTATGTCTTCAAAACTTCATACAATTTTATGGATATTGCACTTCTTATTTCATTTTCATGAAGAAAAAAGCAACGAATATACATAATATACAATTAAATTGATCTTGGGGAGTTGGGGGAGGGGTAAAAATTCACAGGTACTTTGGTCTTGGTTTATAATTATATATATGTACCCTTATCGATGCGTAAAATGGCTGTCCCCCCTTTTTTTCCCACCAATACTTTTACTATTGGAAATGTTCAGTAAAAAGCTGGTTGCCCCCCCCCCCTCCCCCCTTAATACTACAGGAAATTCATATGAGGGAAAGTAGTGTTGAATACCAAAAATTTGGTTCTGAAAGAAGTTGGCATTGGAGAAAGACTTTTTTTAGAGAGAGAAAAAAAAAGAAATGTCTTTATTAAAGCACAAACTTTATATCTGTAATTAATTGTATTTGAACAATACCTTATTCCTAAGTTTTCTCTCTTATTGAACGCAATTAAGTTGATTACAAATTGTACGTCGGGTTCGTTACCACGATGCTCTCAGTACGGAAAATACAGCTTTTACCGATTAACTCATAACAAAAACATATACACTACATATCTATTTTAGTCTTTCGATATATGTATTTCTTGTATATTAAGTATTTTCATTTGCCTTCGCTCATCCTCAACTTTTGATACCTCGCTGTCGGATTGCCTTGAATTCAGATCGGTTACTTCTACTATCCTACACTGTGTCACCAAATACCATGTACCGTTTGCCTACCTATATAATCCTTGTATCAATAAATATTAGTGTTTTTCCCGGCAACAATATGTTTCTGATAAATTCCAAGCAATATTTTGCTCGTTTTTACAAAACTATTGTTTTTATTGAATTCTAATTTATATAACATCATTTGCTGTAAAACTATTTAATCAATTAACCCGTTAATTACAATCTTTATAATTATTTCTTGATTAAAACAATGTAGCAAAAGGGAAGTGATGTTCCAGAAGCTTCCGTTAATATTGAGATCGGTGATTGACGAAAATAATTTACACTTTTCGCTTTTTAATTGGTTACTACAACTTATTTCTTTTATATCAATTAAATCAAGTTTTGATTGAATAATTCAGTGATGACATTTTATGAAATAAATAATAGATTGTTTGTTGTCAGTTTCATTAAAATTTGTCTGTAGCTAAGATCCGCCAACCGGAAACGCCACAATACTCACGTTGATGCTATTTCATGGCTGTTTTCAGAAAATTGAAGTAGACTTTTAATTTTATGTACGATACTTACTATCCGAGTGAAATCTAAATATAGATTACGGACATCATCTTGTATGTGGTGTAGTATTAGGGGGGTAAGTAAGAACTCTTGTGCACCCGTTTCGGAGTTTATTTGCAAAGTTTATCATATGTTTATTAATTTATACGTATAGATGTCAAAAAACACATGAGCAGAAATAAAACGTACTGTCTACGATTTAAACCAGTTGTCCATATTCCACGTGGTCTTTGGGACCCACCTCTCTCAGGCCCGTAATTTATGCTGAAGAAAATGTTTCTTTTCACACGCATTCAAATTACATTGTATAACTCACTGAGTCCAGTGAGGGGGTTCTTTTATTTAAATTCACAAAACTGAGATTGCAAACATAAAGCCTGACACTTTTAAAATCAGTGTTTATCAGCTGATGCAAACAGCTGTACCGATAATCTTATTTGAACCTTTAAAACCGTTTATGAAAGTTGATGATCATCTACATGAATGATCGACTTGATAATCAAGCCATATGAATTATAATTCCTACTGAGCATGCTGAGCGTAGACGAGGCGAATTTAATCTACTGCATGTTTAATGCTCGCTTCGTACTTTTGAGGCTTTACTTTGAAGAAATTGACAAGGTCTTACCTTTTGTCTTTAAGAATACACAAGTCTTACCTTCCGGATTCGTTTCTCCATTATATTTATTAGTACATAATGATACTTTTAAATGAAGTTTCGTTTTAATTTCTGTTTATCTTGTACTTTCGTTTTGATGGGATTTTCCCATTTAAAGTGTTTTGTGAATTTAATCTTGTCTTTACCTTCAAATTGTAAACTTTGCAGAAAACATTTACAAAGAAATAATTATTTTAGGATACGACTATTAGATGCTAGAAAAAAAGGGGGCTTTGATTTTATTGAATATATGTCATTCATCAGTTGATGTGAAAGCTGTGAAAATTATGTAACGCCAAATTAGAATATATTCAAATAATTGTACCTATCTTCAAATGAATTTTACCTATCTTTAAATAAATTGTACCTATCTTCATAGGCGTACTCAAAGGGGGGGGGGGGGCAGCGGGGACACTAGCCCCCCCCCACTTGCAGATCGGGGGGGGGGGGGGGGGCAAGAGTATGTCTGTGCCCCCCCCCCCACTTTATGTTGAACACAATCACAGCTATGTTGAAAAAAAATTAAACCTCATTTTATGGCAAATGTATCTTATTTTTCTGTTTCACTCAGCATCTGTTATTTAACAAAATTAAATGAGAATCACATTTACTGCCCCGTGTGTTGACATCTGAAAGTCATTATCAATTTGCTGAATCGCATTTCTTGTTTAACACAAAGTACGTTCTGTCAAACCTCCCGCCGGACCGGAACCGGGGGGGGGGGGTGCTAGGTGGGGCTTATTTACTCCCTCCCTTTTACCCCCAGATATATACTTAATATAGACATTGAACATTGCTTCGTAGGTATAGCCCCCCTTCTTCCTCCAAAGACACGTCGCAAAAAATGGTACTGCTGAAGTACACCCTCCCCCACTTCCCTCTTGCTTGGAAGGTTTTTTTTTTTTTTGGTTTTGTTTTGTTTTCTTTTCTTTTGAATTGAAGATAGGTATTTTATAATATGATTTAAAGATAGGTACAATTGAATTGAACCTATCTTTAATTACTAAGATATTGGCAATAACAACTTCTCTCTTTATTATATGTCATTTCCAGTATATGATTTGGGGGGGGGGGGATGGTCCTGTTCACGGGTACCCGTGGTTCATTCGGGGCGATATCTCAAGAAAATTTTAAGCCTTAACGATGCAATCAAAGAACTACCCGCGGTATATTGCATATATTTGCCCCCACAAAAGTCAAATTTTGAAAACTTCCTGAAATGTGCTGAATTCAATAAATTGTATGAGAAATATAAATTAACAGAAAATATTATAGTGTCAAAGTAGTGTATTCACAATTTTTGTTTTTATGACGTCACAAACTAGTCCGATTTTATATCCTTTTTCAGAAGAGGACAAAATGGACAAAATTTCAACAGTTTTCGCTTTAAAATTTATAGAGCGCAAATTGTTCAGGAACAATATTGACATATTTCATTGATATAATCATTCTACAAATTATATCAAAATATTGATCCTGAACACACATGCGCTCGGTGACTTTTGCTCAAAATATCGACGAAATATGTACATTTTTCTGTAAAATTCATAAAAAACTGAAATTTACGTCAGGTTTGTTATGGAGGTCCTTCGCTAGATACTTACATGTAAATGTAGGTACGACGGAGAGTGCAAATACATGAAGAAAGGGAATTTAATGTTAGAATATTTTAAACCTTATATGTACCGAATCTCTAAATTTTTGGAGAATATGAGAAGCCTTAGTAAAAACTTCCATGAAGAAAGGAAAAGCCCGCCCACATTCCACACTTTTTTCCATGCAATTCTTTCTTTTTCTTATGAGCAACATTTACTATTGACAAGTTTACAGTTTTTTCTATTTAATTTAAAGAATTGCATATAATAAGTAATTTCTTTACTTTGCATAATTACTGATAAAAG